TGGTTGAAAAGAGGAGTAATGGAAATATAGTACTTTTGAGGGGACAAAGCTCTAGGTGTGCTGATTTGGCACGCCTAGACAAACAGAGATATTTAGTGGGAGTTAGAAACATAGGACTCAAGTTCAGGGAAAAGATCTGGCCTAGACCAACAGATTTGGGGAGCTATCACCAAACAAATAACAGCTGATGTTATTGGAATGGATGAGCATGTGGAATGAGGTGAAAATGCTGGGGAACATCAATGGTTAAGGGAATACATGGAGGAGGGATGCTCACAGACAAGACCGCAGGGCCAAGGAGGTAGGAGGAAAACGAGAGAACACGAAATACCAAAAGAGAGACGATGTAAATCAGAGAGCAGCAAGTACCACAGTAAGACAAGATCTGCCAAGTCCAGCAACCAGGATGTCACTGGGGCCTGAGGCGAAGGCAGAGTCTGTGGGGTGGTGGCAAGAGAAGCCAGGCTGCACCCGGGGAAGGAGTGAAGGGGAGGTGAGCAAGGGGCAAGGAGAACAGACACTTTTCAACATGCTCGGCTGCTGAGGGAAGGAGAAAGAGTGTCCAGAACTCCCACTTGGTATTGTAGATACCTGAAAAATTGGAATAAATATTCAGCAATCACTCTACAAATGGTAGGTCTTACTTGTTTAATCTAGAAATTCAATATGTTGAAATATGAATTTTCAGAGCTTAATGCTTGCCTTTCTTTTCAGTTTTATAGAAACTTCCTCGGTATATATGTGATATGTTTTATCCACAGAAAAACACATACGATTAATTGTAAATATACATCCCACTGAAATAAGAGTTTATTCAGTTTCTGGCTTCAAACAGGTTGCAGTGTCTTAAGTTTTTACATTATAAATTGTTTCTGACAATATTGTGAACATACACATAATACAGGACAGTCCAGATTTATACTTTTTTTAAAAATAAAAACAAAACATTATTACTAGAGTTAAGCAATCGACTGCTACTGTGAAGTAGGGGTAAACACTCTAAATCAAATCTGAAAAGGAGGGAAACTGCACTTTTCCTTCCTTT